ATCAATGCATGGCCACATTCTCTCTGCTCCCCAAACCCTGTCTGCCAGCCCCTCCCCTCAAATACCCCAGGGGCTGCCAGCTCCCCCGCGTTGGGCAGGGTGCTGCTGTACACAGGCAGACTGGAGTGTGGGTGCCCACACCCCTTGGGGCCCCGTGAGGGGGGGAGCAGGGGAACGCAGAACCTGCCCTATTAAGGTAACATTCCTGTGCTGTGCAGAGCCTGCTGCCAGCTGGTCAGGCTTGCCAGCCCCTCCCCTCAAATACCCCAGGGGCTGCCAGCTCCCCCGCGTTGGGCAGGGTGCTGCTGTACACAGGCAGACTGGAGTGTGGGTGCCCACACCCCTTGGGGCCCCGTGAGGGGGGGAGCAGGGGAACGCAGAACCTGCCCTATTAAGGTAACATTCCTGTGCTGTGCAGAGCCTGCTGCCAGCTGGTCAGGCTGCCTGCCAGGGGCAGGACAGCCAGGTCCTGAGCCCCCCACCCTGCACCCCACTATTCCACCCTCCCTCCCTCAGGCTGAGCCCCTCACGGGCAGGGGCAGCCCCATGTGCGACAGACAGGACCCCAGTGCTGCGAGCTTCCCTCCACATTGCCCAGCCCTGGCTCCCAGTGCGGCGAGCTTCCCTTGGCAGTGCCCAGCCCATCCCCTCCCCAGCGCTGCAAGCTTCCCCTGGCAGTGCCCAGCCCAGCCCCCTCCCAGCGCTGGCAGGGCCCATCCTCATCCTCCAAGCGCTGCGAGCTTCCCCTGGCAGTGCCCATCCTCATCCTCCCAGCGCTGCGAGCTTCCCCTGGCAGTGCCCATCCTCATCCTCCCAGCGCTGCGAGCTTCCCCTGGCAGTGCTCAACCCCATCCCCCCAGCGCTGTGAGCTTCCCCCAGCACTGCCCAACCCCACCCAAGCATTGTGAGCTTCCCTAACACTCAGGTCTCCCCCCAGGTGTCGCTGGACAAGGACCGGTTCTCGGTGCTGCTGGACGTGAAGCATTTCTCCCCCGAGGAGCTGAGCGTGAAGGTGGTGGGCGACTACGTGGAGGTGCACGCCAAGCACGAGGAGCGCCCGGTATGGTCCCCATCCCAGGGCGCCCCCAGCCCTTTTCCCTCCCCACCCCTCTGACGCCCCCTCTCTTGCCCCCAGGACGAGCACGGCTACATCTCCCGTGAATTCCACCGGCGCTACGGGCTGCCCCGGGGCGTGGACCCTGCCACCATCACCTCGGCCCTCTCGCCCGACGGCATCCTCTCCATCACGGCGCCCACCAAGCCAGAGGGCAAGGCCCAGGAGCGCACTGTGCCCATCGCCCGGCAGCAGACCCCTGCCGTGACTGGGAAATAGGGGCCAAGGATCCGCTCCGCTCCCCCCCCCAGAGCCTGAGGCCCAACTCGGGACACCCCCTCGGGACTACACAATTGCAGGGGCTCCCCTCCAGGCTAGGGGCGCGGAGAGCCGAGTGCGTCCCAGGGCACAGGGAGCCGGGGTTTGCTCCTTACCCCAGCAGCTGCTTGGCGGGGTCCTGGATTTCCCACGGGGGGTACTGGTTCTGCACGGAGCCAGCGCTCTGCTAATAAACACCACTCACCTGCTGGACCACAGCTCCCTGTGCTGTTTCTAGGGGCGCTGCCAGGGGGGGCTTCACCCAGGGGTGCTAGAGGGACGGTGGCAACGGGAGGATTCAGCAATGGGGGCTGTGGGAGGCACCTGTGCCCGGCTGGGAAGGTGGGGATGAAGCTGATTGGGGTTGGGTGGCAGTGGGGGCAGATGGCACGTAGCAGCCAGGATGTAGTGGGGAGCACATGGTGCCCAGGGGGTAGGGAATGCAGAGCTCTGCACCCATTAACATCAGAACTAGAGGGTCACAAAACAAAATGGATTGATAACAGGTTTAAAACAAGCAAAAGGAAGCATTTTGTCAAACACCACAGTCAACTTGTGGAACTCCTTGCTGGAGGAGGCAGTGAAGGCCAAGACTTTCACAGGGCTCAAAAAAGAGCTAGCAAAGTTCACGGAGGATAGGTTCAGAAATGGTTGGTAGCCGGGGAGGGCATCCTCTGTTTGTCAGATGCTGGGAATGGGTGACAGAGGATGGATCACTTGGTGATCCCCTGTTCTGTTCACTCCTTCTGGAGCATCTGGCCTTGGCCGCTGTCAGTTGACAGGACTTTGGTCTGACCCAGTGTGGTCATTCTTATGGTGGGGGCAATACCCAGGGCAATACACACAGCTGTGTGTGGCAGGTGGGGGGGCAGTGCCCAGGGCTGTGCATGGCAGGGGGGCATGCCTAGCCTCCAGGCCTAGCCCCTGGAGAGCACAGCGCGCCTGTTACTTGGTTCTGACACACAGCCGGGGCGTCCCTGGGCAGCTGTTAGCATGAGGGGAGGTGAACGGCACACATGCCCATGGTCAGAGGGGCGGGGGATACAATACGGCTCCCTGCTCAGTCTCACCTTGGGGTGGGGGAAGAGACAAGGCCCCAGGGTCTCCCACCCGGCACCCCGGAGACCTGTCCCATGGCGATGGGCTGCCAGATGGGGAGGGCCCTGCCATGAGGGGGAACCCAAGGCAAATGCCCTGCTCCAACCCATCTGCACCAGTGTGGGCCAGTCCTTCCCTACCCCAGCCAATGGGAGCCCAGCAGCACATCACTAGGATGTGCCTAGTGATTAACCCCTTGTGGAACAGCCCATGGTGAGTTTACCAGGGTTTGCTCCACCTGAGCCTCTATACCCCCCAAGGGCCCCCCCCCACTGCATTGACCCAGCCATGAATTCTCTTACCCTGCC